GGGGGCGCTCGTAGGCTCCCCTTTTACCACCATGGATTCTTGTCCTTCCACGAGTGTCACGCCAGCTTTATTTTATCTGATTTGTAGGTTCGGTACAAAAGTGAGTTCTCTAAAGATGTTGACAGGAATATATCAACACTTTGTGAGTACAAATATGAAAGGGAGTCCACCAGGAGGACAAGGAGTATTTTTTATGTAGCATTATTTTCATCGTAACCGGCAATGGATTCCTTCCATGTAGAGTGGATAGTGGCGTCGCAAGCATACCTATGGTGTGTACCGGATTTTGGTTGCGAAACCGAAATCACAACATTCGCGCTTTTTTCGGCTTTGTGTCGGTTTAGAAATGCAAACCTGATGCTAATGCTAGTATAAAAATACACTTGCCGAATAGAAAAAGCAAATTGGAGAGAGCATTGCGAAAGAAACTGCAATGATGACGATTCTCATAGTCCTGTTCGTCCTTGGGTTCGTTGCAGGAGCGCAACAAACTGATGGTAATCCTCATTCAGGTAAATTTATGAGTCGCTATTTTGCATATTAGTTAATTATTTTTAGTCGGGCTGCAACTTTTTAATGGCTTTAATCCTGTTCGCGATTCGTCCTATTGATTGTCATTTTTATTGGCGCATCACCCATGTACGTGACTATCGATAAGTGTGACATCCCTTGGAATAAAAGTCATACGGCTATATCTTGCGTCCTAGAACATATGTTTTGGCTATAAGAGACCATGCGATTTTTATGATCCCACGGATTTTGACAGCTTCAAATTCCGATTTGTGTTGTGTCCTACTTTCTCCATCCACAATATTATATGTTTTTGCAAGCTATGTTAGTTTATAAAAACGTCTTATATTATGAGATAGAGGGAGTAGTATTTATGTTGTTCTGTGTATGCTAATAGAACACTACTGATTATTTTGTGGTTTGGTTCAGCCGCGTACGATGTCACGTGGTCACCGCGCGGCCCTTCGTCGACAATCCCACCTCTTCATCGTAAGTAATCTCATTCTTTACCTCCACCTAATAATTAACATAAGGTAGAATCACGTTATGTATATCTGCTTCCGATTTGTATTATGGAGCTAGCGATCATTTCCATGTTGAATGAATTGCGTACGTGTTGTGAGTGCAGCGTCGGACGGCGTGTTCCCGACACAGTGGTGCAACCCCCGCCCACAGCACCTCAAGGCCGACAAAGGGATCCTCTTTCTCAGGCGCAACCTGTTCGACGGCGCGGTGCTGCCCGCAGGCACCAAGCTCGGGCACGCCAGGAGGGCAGGCACCGCCAGCACGGTCACCGGCACCAACCTCGCGCCGCCGCCGTTCGACTACGGCAGCCTCCGAAACATACTGACCTACTACAATATTGCGCCGGGCTCGGAGCAGGCCCGGCAGGTGGCCAGCACGCTCCGGTTCTGCGGCCGCAGCGAGGCACGAGGCGGCGACCAGCCGGAAAAACCCCACCTCTGCGCCACCACCGAGCGAGCGGCCATGGAGTTCGCCGCGGCGGCCCTGGGAGCAGCGACGGCGGAGCCGCTCAGGACGGTCGTGCACGGGCGCGAGGAGCCCCACAGGTACGTGGTGGCGCCCGGCGGCGTCGCCAGCATTGCCGGCGCGGTCGTGCCGTGCCACCCGCTGCCGTACCCGGCGGACGTGCTGTACTGCCACCGGCCAAGCAACGTGGGCGCGGTGCGCGTGGAGCTGGTCGGGCAGGACGACCCTACGCTGGGCGCGACGGCGATCGCCGTCTGCCACGAGGACACCTCCGGCTGGGACGCCGAGTACTTCGCGACGCTCAACGGGTCCCGCGGCGAGCCGATCTGCCACTACATGCCAGAGAAGTATGTGGTGTGGGTGGGTGGTGAAATCCACTAGATTATGATCGGTGAAGTATGAATCTCGAGCTAAGAGGGATGACGTATCAATCTCCACCGTAATATGATCCGACCAAGCTTAAACTAATGGTCACTACATCTTTTATACTGTATAAGAACTGCATGCACGAATTTGGAGAAATATACGTGGAGTTCTGAACAACAGTCTAATTTCAAGCCGGAAACGTGAGATCCAATTGAACACCGGCGATATATATCGGCACCATGACTTGGCTCTTCTTTGCATCCTCGACTTATAATTTCGGTCCCATTGTGTATTCTGACACAAGTTTGGAGAATAAGGATGAACTGTCCTCTAGCAACTTCGCTGGTGAGTCATGCTCTGCAATTTCACCTGTTTTACACAGCATGACAACAGTTAAAACAAACTAACAGAGGAGAACAGCACATATAGGATTCGTCAGTTCAATCTGTAAGACTGTAACGCAGTGGAGGGGACTCACCGTTGTCCAGAAGAATCACCCTCTCGCTATCAAGAACCGATGTGATACGATGCGCTATCGTGATCACGGTGCATTCGGCGAATTGCTGTTTCAAGGTTTTCTGGATCAAACCGTCGGTTATCGGATCCACTGAAGAAGTTGCCTCGTCCAAAACTAGGATCCGCCTCCTCTTTAGAATCACCCTTCCCAAGCAAACAAGCTGCCGCTGACCCGCGCTCCAGTTTTCGCCGTTCTCTGTCACTGCATTTCAGTTCAGAATGCAAAGTTATTGGTTTGCCATCATAAAGAAGAGCAATATCCACTGGGAATTTCTGTCATCTTGGAGTACTATCAAACCTGTAGAGTCGAGCTTAAGCTCGTTCTTCCTAACTTCATCTCCAAGATGACAGCAGTCCAATGCCTAGACAACATAGATCACGCACAAACCACTTTAGCCATCAAATAGAAAATGCGGATGCTGATTTTTTGCAAGTTATGGGGTCAAATCGATTTTTTAAATGAATGGAGTCAATTTGAAAATACAGTACCTCCCAGATTTGCTCATCACTATATTCATCCAGAGGGTCGATGTTGCTTCGCAGAGTCCCCTCGAACATAACAGGGTCTTGTGGAATGATGCTCAGTCTTGTCCGTAGGTCATGCAGTCCAATGGTGGAGATGTCGACGCCATCTATCAATATTTGCCCGATACACGGATCGACAATGCGGAATAGCGTTTGAATCAAGGTTGACTTTCCACCACCTGTTCTTCCAACAATACCGGTCTTCATGCCTCCTGAGAAGGTGCACGTCACGCCTTTCAAAACTAAAGGCAGATGTGGCGCATATTTTACCTGCATGCCATACAAGCACTTAGGGTACTAATAACTGCAACGTTATATTAGAAGAAACTCAGCACTGCTATTACTAACTGATGAAAAAAAATACTATGTGCCACTAAAACTACCTCATAGAACTTCAGAAGTTTCATCAACATGGATTTGCAGAAGAAAAAGAGAAATATTTAAAGTTGAAGAAACGAACATGAAGGTTGCGAAGCTCAATTTCACCCTTTGTTGGCCAATGGCAATCCGGTCTACTTTCTGATATCGTAAGGGGCGGTTCAGAAGGAATGGTCATGTATTGCAATATTCTTTCCACGGATATCATTCTGTTTTCCAAAGCACGGAGGACCAGAATAGCCCACCCTATTAGCATATTCAGACTTAGTCCATAAGTGACTGCAAGACCAGCTGTCTCTGTGAAGTGTAAGGAAATAATAAGTTAATACTAATTAGGGATGCTAATACATTATTTTCTAATTTTAGTTGATTGGAAAAAGCATGTTTACTTACTTGAGTCAATTAGATCAGCTGGCAAGGTGACCAGAAGTATCAATGCAAATCCAAAAATAAAAGAAGAAAGAAAGTCCAAGCGAAAGCACAACCATTCCATCGCAGCAGCATTATATAACGTTGCCCGAGATAAATTATCCATCAATTGGCCAGTCCAACTGATGAACTCTCTTTTCTTATCAAAGCATCTAATTATAGTTGTGCCAGCTATTGATTCAGCGAAATGCTGCATCACAGGAGCTCTGCAAACTCCAGTTAACCTCTGCAACTCCCTAGCAGCACTTAAGTAGTATTGCTGGAAGAGAAGGGATGGTATTATGATTAAAAGAAGAAACAAGAAGTACCAATTAATTTCATAGATAGACATAAATATAACTTTCTGATACAATATGCTACATATTATACATTAAAATAATGCCGTGGGTTAAAATTTGTCTTAATCTGCCTAACCAAAGCTTCACCATTGGTCCTAAATTTGCAGTTGTGACACTTGGTTCTGAACATGCAAAGGGCACCTTTTTAGGTTCTTTAAATCGTACTCCCTCCATCACAAAATAAGTGTCGCAGATTTAGTACAAAGTTTTGAGACGGAAGGAGTATAAAATAGTTAATATAGAAGTTAAAACCAACCTTACTTGGTATTCAAAGTCCATTGATCAAAATTATTGGTTTTTTCTTCAACTATAAAATTATTAGCTTTTTGTGTAGCCACCTGTCAATAAGGTCACTTGTGCTTCAATAAGGTTAAAGTGCCATGCCCTCTACTACTGCTAATTTAAATTGTACTGGACCTGCTCAGTATATATAGAGTGATATCTGAACAGATTTTTCACAACACTACTCCAATCAATAAGTCTATCTATATGAACATTGGTATATCATTACCTCCTGTACTCTACAAATTAAATTTGTTGATATTCCATATTTTCATCAAAGTACATGGATAAGGGTGTGGGGAAGCGAGATCTTATTGGTTTCAGCTCTAGCCTACCCAAACTTGTTTGGGACTAAAGGCTTTGTTGTTGTTGTTCAAGGTGTGGAACTCCCATGCAAAATTCACTAGCTATGAATTAATGTATTTGTACTTTTCCTATGTTTTCAAAAAGGATGCCAACAAAAAAAGTCACATCCAACAAAACTATATGAGAAACATTACCTGATATGATAGAGATGCAATAATAACAGGGACAAAAATTACAAAGACTGGCCATGCAACCCGCGACATTAGAATAATTGTTCCAAGAATTTCGATGGCAGGAAATAGAAGGTAGCCCATCAGATCATATATTTGAGTATCCACTGCGCTCTGATCGGTGGAGGCCTGCAATTTGTTTCAACTTTCAGCGTTATTAGTCGAATAAAAAGTTTAACAGCACTCCGAGGAAATGTGACTTCAATTTATCATTGTAAATAACTTTGTGAAGGTAATTACTTACTCTATTCAAGATACGGCCGCTAGGAATGGAATCAAAGAAAGACATCGGTGCTCGGAATATGCATTGGTGCATCTTGTCAAATAGCATGATTGCAGTCTTACATCCAGCCATGACTAGAAGATAGGATCGTATGAAGACACACAATGAGGTAACAAGAGCTAATGCAACATATACATTTATCATCATCGAGCTATTGACCGGAGGATTCACATCTTTAGATACCGGAGCTGCCCAAGCCATCCATAAATTGCTTCCAATTTGAAGAGATTGAAAAATGATCTGAGCTAGCAAAATAAGTGGCACAAATGCTCCTTTGTGTGCCATTGTAATATATTTCCAGTAGACAATAAACCCAACCCGGCCTTTCTCCCTCTCTTCTTCTTGTACAAGTTGACCATTTTGAACAAGTACTTCTTCATTGTTATCATGTGTTTGCTCATCTGCTATGGGTAGGGTGCTTCCATTGCCATTAAGATGGCAACTACTTTCATAATTGCTACTTGGGAGCTCCAACATGTCCATAGTAGATAATGCATCCTTGTGGGACACAATTAATTCAGTGAATTCTTTTCCAGAATTAAGAATTTCAGTGTAATCCCCTGCTTGTATTATTTTCCCATCTTTCAAGACCTGAAATATGATAAAAGGAATTGAAAAGGATTTTTTGCACATATCATAGAGAAGACATTATACATTTGTTTCCAGCATACCATGATAACGTCGGCTGAAGGTAAGAATTCGACATGATGTGTAACATACACAACTGTTTTTGAAGCTAAAAATCCAAGCAAGCACTCCTGCAAAATACAAATTATGGTCAATAAGTTCACTGAATAGCACCCTAGAATCTCTCTCAAGGATATATGAACTCAAAATTGCTTGGCTAAACTGGATCAATCACAAAATCCAAGGAGTTGTTTAACTTGACTAAAAGAACTATGAAACCAACTTTCCAACAAATGCAATATGAAGAACATTCGTTATAGGATGGACACATAAGCAAGAGATTAATTACCACTCTCACGCATAAGTATTTTGAAATATGTTACTACCCTCGGTAAAAAATATTTTCGAAAGAATACTCATTCTTCCATGGTGTATACTCTTTGCGGATGATAGGACTGCATCAGGGGTCAGCTTTGAGCCCTTATCTTTTTGCATTGGTGATGGATGAGGTCACAAGGGATATACAAGGAGATATCCCATGGTGTATGCTCTTTGTGGATGATGTGGTGCTAGTTGACGATAGTCGGGCGGGGGTAAATAGGAAGTTAGAGTTATGGAGACAAACCTTGGAATCGAAAGGGTTTAGGCTTAGTAGAACTAAAACCGAGTACATGATGTGCGGTTTCGGTACTACTAGGTGTGGGGAGGGGGTTAGCCTTGATGGCCAGGTGGTACCTCAGAAGGACACCTTTCGGTATTTGGGGTCAATGCTGCAGGAGGATGGGGGTATTGATGAAGATGTGAACCATCAAATCAAAGCCGGATGGATGAAGTGGCGCCAAGCTTCTGGCATTCTCTGTGACAAGAGAGTGCCACAAAAGCTAAAAGGCAAGTTCTACAGGACGGCGGTTCGACCCGCAATGTTGTATGGCGCTGAGTGTTGGCCGACTAAAAGGCGACATGTTCAACAGTTAGGTGTGGCGGAGATGCGTATGTTGAGATGGATGTGTGGCCACACGAGGAAGGATCGAGTCCGGAATGATGATATACGAGATAGAGTTGGGGTAGCACCAATTGAAGAGAAGCTTGTCCAACATCGTCTGAGATGTTTTGGGCATATTCAGCGCAAGCCTCCAGAAGCTCCGGTGCATAGTGGACGGCTAAAGCGTGCGGAGAATGTCAAGAGAGGGCGGGGTAGACCGAATTTGACATGGGAGGAGTCTGTTAAGAGAGACCTGAAGGATTGGAGTATCACCAAAGAGCTAGCTATGGACATGGGTGCGTGGAAGCTTGCTATCCATGTGCCAGAGCCATGAGTTGGTTGCGAGATCTTATGGGTTTCACCTCTAGCCTACCCCAACTTGTTTGGGACTAAAGGCTTTGTTGTTGTTGTTATTGTTGTTACTCATTCTTCCAAGTTAGTTTCGGTAATATTTGTAGTCCAACCAATGTTTTCCACCAAATGCCCCCATTAAATGCATGCCGGTACTTGTACTCAGATATATAGACAGACACTTCCTAAGGGAAAACTTTAAATGTGTATCAGTACTACTCAGAAATTGTGCGAAAACTGGAAGGTGAACACTGCAGCACATGGTAATATAGTATAAATTTATATAATCAAAATTAATGTGTATAAGATCTGTCGCCAGATAAGATATTAGTTTTAGCATTCAGTTATTTCATATGCATAAAGAACAATGAAATACAAAACATCAAGACATACCTTGAACAAGTGCAATCCAGTATGAGCATCAACTGCACTAAACGGATCATCAAATAGATAGATATCAGCATCATGGTACAAAGTACGGGCTATTTGTATCCTCTGTTTTTGTCCACCACTGAGGTTAATGCCTCTCTCTCCTATAATCGTCTGGTCACCGAATGGTAATATATCCAGGTCCTTGATAAGCGAGCATGCTTCAAGGACCTTTTCATACCTCTCCCTATTCATTTCTGTGCCAAAAAGTATATTATCTTCGATTTTCCCACTCTGTATCCAAGGTGTTCGGCTAACATAGGAGATCCTGCCACAAGTTTTAACCTCTCCTGATAATTTTGGTATCTCACCGAGTATGCAAGACAATAAACTTGATTTGCCAGATCCAACTGTTCCACAGATAGCAACCCTCGTTCCTTGTTGTACACGGAAGTTCAAGTCTCGAAGAGTAGGCACTTGAGAAGATGTATTCCAAGAGAACTGACCGCTCGTCACCTCAACCGACACATCGGTGGTACCCCTAGGAAGCTTAGTTACAACATCACTAGGGAGTTCCTCAAGACAGAGAAATGAGCATATCCTGTCAAGCGATACTTTTGTCTGAATGATCATAGAGTATGCGTCTGGGAGACCATGGATAGGTGTTTGCAGCTGTCTAAATGTTGCCAGGGCACATAGCACTTTACCTGTTTCTAATGGAATGCCCATAAGCACGCAAACTCCGAAAGTGGCCATAGCAACAAAAGCAGGAGCAGAAAAGAAGATGGATAGGAGCATCGCCGAGGTGTATACCTTCTTCTTTAACCAATTCATCTCTACCTTCCTCAACTCTATTATCTTGGACAAGAAGATCATTTCCCATCCTTGAAGCTTGAGAATGCGCATGCTCTGTAAGATCTCAGACATAGCCCTCATTCTCACATCCTTGGCGCTCATCATTTTCTCTTGATAATTTTACTCCATTCTCCCTAAAGGCTTATTACCCCCAATTGTCAAAGCAGTGGCAAGAAGGGCAGCAAATGCAGGGCAAAAACCAGGTGTCGAGTATAAGATGAGCATGGCTAGAACAATTTGCACAGGAAGGCGCCAAAGATCGTGCATGGATCGACTGAAATCTCCTACACACTCGGCATTGAGGCTCACGACATTGATCATCTCTCCGCTCGAGTTGCTTTGCCTGGACTGACTGGAGAGGGCAAGGCCTTTCTGGTAGATAGCAGCGACAAGCGACGAACGTGCACGCACCCCTACTTGTTTTGATCTAAACTGCAAATGCCTCGTCGAAAGACCTTCGATCAGCTGCGCGACAACAAACGTCAATGCTAGAACGTAGCCCTCTCTGCTGGACCTTGAGCTCTTATTCAGGTAGTCGACAAAGTACTCGATCAGGTAGGGACCGACATATGAAGCAACACTGCTGAGTAGGGCGTAGACGGCAGTGACGAGGATCGGTTTCCATGTTGTAAGCACAATAGCCTTGGCAAGCTTGGCCGCCGTAGCATCGGTGAACTGGCCCGTCGCAGAGTTTGACACAATCTTTGCCTTGAAACTAGGGAGGACCCCATGGACACTGTCCCTGTCATCCAAGAAGGGCACATCGTCGAGATCTAGAGTTTTCTTTCTGCCGAGATCAAGTAAGGGGCCCATCCAAGAAAAAGTGATGATGCTGAACCATCCAGCATCTGTGAAGAGTGATTTAGTGCCTGTTGCCTCGGATGAGGAAGGAGTTGCGTGGTCCAAAAGCGGCTGCTTCATGATGAACAGATAACCCCTGAACACCGAAACTGAGAAAAATGCACATTAGAACAGAGTATAAGACTATGAACATTAGATGACACGTCGTCTAAGTTTGACCATAGAAGTATTTTATTTTCAGAAAGCACAGCTGATGCAATTGTACAACAGAAACAACAGACAGGCAATGAAGCACATCACTCCTAGAAATAAAAACAGCAGAGCGCTGCAGAGTCTACAGATGAGCGTGTTTCTGGAACCTATCCTGGATTTTTCGAATTCTATGCTGAACTGTCAGCACTGTAAACAGAAGGAAGAAGAAGACCGAAGGGCAGCAGCAACATCGAAATCTCGCGAAGAACAGACACGCGCGTTTAATCTGTAGATACATGTATGTGCTGTACTGACTACTGAGGCAAGGAGGAGGAGTTACACGGGCGAGGCAGCAAGTTGGACGATCGATGCCGATTTCTGCCACTCGGCCTCGCAGGATAGGAGGATTCCACGTATCCGCTCGCGAGATCAGATCTTTACTCCGACGTTTTGTCCTCTCCAGATGGGGCGCCGCCGCCGCCGCCTACGGAGGGAGGATCTTTCTGGCGGCTGGCGGCTGGCCGCGTTTGTGTTATGTCCGGGCCTCCGGGGTTTGGGCGAGAGTTCATATTTATAGTAAGTAGGCAAGGATCATTCTTCGCGACACAAAAAATCAGCAGCGCATCCTCCCTTAATCCTAGGTTTCCGGGGAGCTAATTTCCCTTTTTTTTAGGGCAGGGGGCTACTTCCCTAGTTTTTTTTATATTATAGGACGGAGGAAGTATTTTCCTAGATTAGTAGCGAGCCAGGAATGCATGTCCCATTTTAGTCTCTTTCTTTCCCTCGCTGAACAGCCCAAGTGCATTCTCTCCCCCCTCTCTCACTCTCTCTCTCTCTCTCTGAGCAGAGAGGGGTTCTCTCTCTGAGCAGAGAGGGGTTCCTAGAGAGAGGTCCTACATAATGCTCTCTTCGTCATATAGCAATCCTGATGCACATATAGTGGCTCAGGACGGCGACTGTACCAACTTGGTTTGGCAGACTGTAGCCGCACGGGTCGCTGCATTGTAGAGTCAGTTTTATTTACCCAAGTGATAAATGGGAGAGAGAGGCCTGGCTAGATGAAACTGCAGGATCTTCTAATTTATGGCAAGATGAATCTTCTTGAAAATCAATGTGGAAGGGTCTAGTTCCGAGAAAAATTGTTTTTGTGGCGTCTAGCAAGGCATTCCCTGCCTACGAATGATGTTCGTTGTCGCAGGAACATGTCCACAACGATCGCAATCTATGTCATGGAAGACTCATGGAGGCTCATTACTCGAGTGCTCTATGTCATGTTGTATATGGGCACTTGCCTACGACGAGAGCATATGATATGATCTCAACGACTGAAGCGAGCGCGAAACAGTGGCTTTTCACCATCATGGAGTCGATGTCTCATGGATGCTTTGTTACTATGGCAACCTTTGGGCTACATGGTGGGAAAGACGAATGTCGATACATGAAGGGGCGTTTCATAGTCCGTTGTCAACAAATTTATTCATTAAAAACTTCATCTCAGAACTCGAAGAATTACCCACAAAAGTCATTGTTTGTGTGATCACACTCCTGGCCGAAGAGGGACTTCGACTCGCATGATCGCTCCACCGTCGGGCTACGCGAAAATTCATGTTGACGCACGTCTTACTAGATCTGGTATAGGAGACGCTGCGACGGCTGTATGTAGGGGCTCTTCTAGAAATTACTTCGGATCATCGACGCTAGTAATCCATTGTGTCGGATTTCGGGTTCCGGCAGACCCTTGAGGTTTGAACACTGGGGTGCGCACGGAGCTTTCGTCTCCTACCTACCTGCACCCCTCCGCCTTGCTAGGATCTAAACTAAGGAAAGAACAACACAAGAGACACAGGGTTTATACTGGTTCGGGCCACCGTTGTGGTGTAATACCCTACTCCAGTGTGTGGTGTGGTGGATTGCCTCTTGGACTGATGATGATGAACAATACCAGGAAGAACAGCCTCGCGAGGGTCTGTTCTTGGCTGGGCGATGAACTGCTGGGAGGAGCTCAGTTACCTTTCTCTCTCTCTCTCTCTCTGTCTCTTTCTCCGTCCGTACTCTCTGTCTAGCGGGTGGCTGGTCCTATTTATAGGGGCCCTGGTCCTTTTCCCAAATATCGAGCGGGAAGGGAGCCAACAATGGCGGGCTAATTTGAAGGGGGACAGCTAGTACTAGCTATCCTGACAAAAGTAGTCTTCGCCTGCGCAAAGCTCTGGTGATGACGCCGTCTTGGGCTCCACGGTGACCTCCGTCTCGTAGTCCTCTTGGTCTTGGTCTCGTTGCACCGAAATGACAACCTTTGTCTGATGCCTCGGTACTCCGCGACTGCGCTTGCCCCCCTTGCACAAAAGAGGGAAGGAGGACACTGCGCGGGCTGGCACCCGCCTGGCGCCCTCGGTCGTCATGGCTTGCGTCACGGGCACCTCGTGAGGTACCCCGCCTTGATCTCTCCGCCTCCTCGTGAGCCAGCCCGACGAGGCCGTGCCTGAGGAAGCTCCGCGTCGTCCGCCCTGCGAGGCTTGGCCCCTCGCGAGGGTCTTGGGTTTGTGTTGGTGAAGATGGGCCGCGCTGGGCCCCTTTTTGAGTCACGCCGCAGGCCGCAGGCAGGCAAGTCTGGGGACCCCCGTTTCCAGAACGCCGACATATTGCGTGAGAGATGTGCAACTCTAGAGGCCATGCTTGCAGGGAAGCTCTATCTTTGGTGGATGATCTTCTACTTCACAATTTTGTGGTGGCTACTGATTCTAAGCAGGTGGCTAGTGATACCAACAGGGGCTGCATTGGTGTTCATGGTCTTATTGTAGCTGAGATTAAGTTGAGGGCAGCCGAGTTCAATTGCAGTTTTTATTTCGAGGGCCGACCATTAAATACAGAAGCCCATTTACTAGCCAAGTTATCTCATTGTGTGATAGACATTTCTGATTGGGACAACCTCATGATCCCGTTTGTATCCCCAGTTTTCTGAACTATGAATAATAAAGCTTGGTGGTTCTAGAAGAAAAGTTTTGCTTTCTTTCATTCATTCTTGAAAAATAGGAAAATAATAATTATAATAATTGATTTCTTTCAGACAAAATGAGTATTTTTTTCAAACATGAAATTTTTTCAAAACGAAAACATATTTCGAAAAACTTGAACATTTTGACACAATGTGTTTTTTGAAGTTTTGTTTTTTAAGTGCAATTTTTTTGAAAAATTCTAAACATTCTCTGAAAAGTGAATTTTTCTGAACCTCCAAACATTTATTGAAACCACAAACTCATTTTTTTTTTAAAAATCGAATCATTTTTAAAATAAGCAAACAAAATTTAAATTTCTAGACATCTTTTTAAATGTGAACCTTTTTCAAAACATGAGCAAATTTAGAATATTTCAAACATTATTTTAAAAGCACAAACTTTTTTTCAAATTTTGACAAATTAAAATGAAAAAGGAAAAGAAAATAAAAATTGAAAAATAAAAAAATAAAAACCAAAAGAAAACAAGAAAAACAAGTGAAAAGAAAGCCGTACAGAACCATCATAAA